TTCTTTATCTATCCAGCCTTTCTTTCCTGCTATGAGCAGCTCTTCACTTTCATGTGGACAGTTTATTATATTTACAGGATTTAATGTTGAAACTGTGGAATGATTTTTAATCATCATGACTAGGGATTTTCATGTTTTGGAAAATGTATGAGTGTGTGTGAGAAGCAAATGACATAATTCAGAGTTTACATTAGACTTCCCAACTTAAATAAATTTTAAGTACTCTTCTCTTACTTTGCTGAAGTAACTGTGCTTTAGTCTCTGAGAGTCAGCCTTCATTACTGAAGATAACGGTGAACATCAACATGTGTTGTTCAAGGTCTCTTTGAAAGGTGCTTGGTTTGAGTGACAGTTGAAAGCAGTTCAACAAAGAATGAGTTCTGCAAAGCCAAGGTGAGAACTGAATAAACCCTGTGATTTCTACTTTAAATGCAACTCCTTGTGAGCTTTACACAGAAGTTAAAACTGACCTGTTTCATCACTTTCTCCATTAAGAGTCCATCGTGGAGTGTTCTGGTTTGCTCAGTCAATAATATTTGTACCATTCTCTGGTGTTAGAATTACAATGGAATGTTTGGACTGAAGTCACAGTTGTGTATTTATCGGTTTGGGATGTCCTTAGAGGACCAGGCAGTGCCAAGAGCTTAACAAGACTTTAGAAGATGACTTAAACCTTATTTCCATGCTGTGTGCTTCACACATCTGGCATAGAGGGATCATACAGTACAAAGTCTAGAATTAGTTTTCATTTGCTCTGAATTCTTCCTGTGCCCAAAGAGCCTTATTGTTTGGCACCAGCTTTGATTCACAAGCACTGCATGTGGCTGTTTTTGTTTTTCTTCTATTGCTTGAAACATGGGTACAAGTCATTGTGCCAAAACTTCCTTATTATTGGGCCTTTAAAAATAAACACCAAAAAACCCCAGAACATTAGATTATTTTCTTGTACAGATACTGTTTGAACTGCTTTTGCAGATCATGGTGGATGGGTCATATTCATTGCTGACACTGTGTAAATGTAAAACAAGGGATGATGATTCTCCTGTTTACTGGAGTCTGCAGAGGTGGTGGCTCAGGCCAGCCTGCCCCAGGCTTAGAGCAGTGCAATAAGATTCCCAATAATCATGAAATGCTGAGAGTGGTTTATATGTTGTTCCAAAGGCAGTGCTCACAGTAGCATAATGTCCTGAAATTTGCAGGGAAGTACTTCACCTGCCTCAAGAGGACCAGTTTATGTTAGACCCCATGAGCTTAGGTTAATGAAGTGCAGTAGGGTGTATTTTCTGCTTGCAGTACATTACCAATTGGTAGCGTCACATAATAAGTGAACCCGCGTGGGGTGAAAGCCAGTGATCAAGTGTCTTTAGAATGCAAACCTGGAAGAAAAGATCAGTGTCTCTCTGCAGAGGGGAAATGCAGGAGAGACCTTTTGCTCTGGGTACAAAACAGGTCAGAGGAGAATGAGGGTATCTGTGGAGGAAGGTGGCCAAATGTTCAGAGGACTGGAGCTTTTTGGAGAGCTTTTTCTGTCCGGGTAGAATGGATGAGGCAAAGCATTCAGCAGTGCGTCTTAATGATGAGGTGAAATATTTTTAGTACTTGAAATGACAGAACTTTCAGTGAGTAGACCCACACTTTCCTTTGTTTGGAGATGCCAGGTTGACAATACCCACCTTCATGTACCTGATGTGTGGGCTGGCTGCATCAGTAATGCTGTCATGTGCCTTTTGGTTCAGAATCAGGTAACTTAGCTGGCACTGAGGTATCCTGATGGAATTCCATTTCAAGGAAAAGGATATCTGAAACAGGGAAAAATGCAGAGGTAAAAGACCAAGTTGCTAATTTCTTTTTTTCACTGGCACATAGACAAAGAACTCATTGTGAAAATTAGGACCGAGGAGGGAGACTGGTTTTTAGAAGTCACTTGATTAGTTTCATGTTTGTTTGGCAGACTGTTGTATTTAAGTGATCTTAAGTAAGCTTTGAAGTTATCAGGTCACACCTTATTAACAAAAGCTGAAGAAGGCAGGGGTGGATCACACAGTGTCACTGTTGTTTATCTGGAGACTATTTTCTACCCTGGGTTAACAGCTCAATAAGCCACAATCACTGCTCTTCCACAAGGCCTAGTATCTCAGTATTTAATATTGCACTTCTCAAAGGAAGCACCTAAAAGCCAGACACATCTGAGGGGGGAAAGGGAAGTCTGCCATTGTGCTTTAACATGTTCAAATCTCTCTTCAAAGTTTAATTTGGATTTAAACTGCTTAAATTTACAATGGTTGGTTGGGTTTTTAATCATAGAAATCTTTATTTTTATATATTTCCTTTTTATATAGGGATATAATCCCATTGGCTGAAAGAAGCCATTTCAGGGACAGTATTTCTGAGGTGCACTGAAAAGGATGGTTAGAAATTTCTGGTACCTCCATCAATTTCACTCACATGGTATTATCTCTGTTCGACAGTACAAGAGATGGTGTGAGTCTTGTTATGATCACAAGTGAGGGTAACAGTGACACTACAGTCTGAACCTGTATTGTTCAGGAGGGACCATTCCTGGGTGCTCACTGAGGAAACCCGCTGGGTTTGCTACAAATGGAGCAGATGGCTGGAAAAGTTTGTTAAATGAGGCCAGAAAACAAACAGTACCTGAGGAGGAGGGGTGTCAAAAACTGATGCAACATGAAGTTCATGTTTTGTAATTAATGTGTGTTTAGATTTTTTCACCTATATCAGGGCAAAAGGGAAACATTTTGTGGTACATTAGAATCATTAAATAGTTCTATTTACAGCTACAATTCAGTGTTACTTCTAAATAACAGAAACAGAAATGTCTCCATTTAACTTTGGTTTTGCAGTTAAACGAGACAAGGACTTTAAATCATATGCACATAATTATTTTTTTTCCTCCTTACTGAGAGTAATTTACTATTACATTGAAGTTCTTGCTATACACTAAACCAGATTGTTACTGACTATTAGGTATCAGATTCTTCTTTACAGAGGAAGGTAAGTCTGAGGAAAGACTGGACTATATTCATTGGAAAAGCTGGTGTGGTGGATCTGGCGAATTTAGGCAGGGGGGGAACAAAAAGAAGCAGCCAGAGCTGTAAGGATAGCTCACCAGTTTTGACCACTGTTAGTAAGTAGGTTTATTCTTGCTGGCTGCCTCATCATGCGCTGATATAACTTTTAAAATGTGTTCTTGAGAAATCTTTTTCAGGCCTTGGTACATTCCTTAATGCAGTTTGAATTTTGAATGCTTATTGAGCCTTTTCATAGTGACGACTCTAATCTTCTTAAAGCATTTGTCCAGAAACCCACCCTCCTTAAACATGGTTAAAAGGTAGCTTCAGGTTGATTTGTGTTTGCAGACTAATTGTAAAAAAACTAACATCTACATGAGGTTCACAAAGAGGTCAGAAGTAATTCAGTCCCTGATCACTATGTTCTGGTTAGTGTTTGTGTGATCAAGTCACAAGAAGGGTCATGGGATTTCATTTTCATTCCTGTTGTCTACTTGTTTAGATAATTGGAGCCACTGGACTAGTTTGTCTTTGAACTGCAAAGAAAGATCTAAACCCAGGACGTGGTGTCATCAGTGAAAAGGAAACGCAGCCTTGGATTAATGGCAGAAAAAGGAGGGGAGCCTTGTTGCATGGTGCACATTAATTGTTTCTTGTTTCATCTTTAGATCTATTAGAATCAGCATTTCACAACAGGTTTTAGTTTTCTCCTAAGGTGGCAGACACCTTAATCACAGAGGGTTTTTTAATACTACTAATGGGGATGCAAAGAAGATAGTACCTGCAACAGAGCAGAGCTGAGCAATGGATAAGGAAGAGTCTGTACACATCCTTTATGACAGGGGAGCTCTGATCACACAGGACAGTGATGATTTCACCATTGCTGCAGCCATCAAGTACGTTGGACATTCCTGTGGCACCTGGAACATCCCTCAACCCTGGTCTAAGACACAGCAAAGCATTAAATTATCATTCCGGCGGAAGTCCATTTGTTGATAGAAACTTGGAAGAAGGCTGCTGGTTGAGGGAGGTACAGAAGATGACCACCTACATAGAACCAGAAATAGCTGGGGTTTGGGGGTTATTTCAGGAAAATGCCTGCTAGGAGTCCTTTTCTGTAATAATATCCCAAATATGAGGTAAGGTTTCAGGTTTTCTGTCTCCTTTTCTTGCCTCCCTCCCTCCACCAAGCTTCTGGTTTATATCTGATCACATCAAACCAAAGGTCAACACATCACAATAGATCATTTTTATTTGGTGCTTTTTCATTGACTCATACTCAGTAATAGTCAGAATTCTCAGAACAAATCCTGTTTGGACTTACATGCTCTCTTTCATCTCTAAGTATATCTTAAGTCTTCCCCCACATTGTTTGATGTGTGAGGAGTAAAAATGCTTCCCACACATACATATTCAGGATTCCCCTTAGACTTTTGTTTTACAGTGTGTAATACCCATGGACACTTACCAATGGAGCTCTCCTTCACTGGCTCACCCCATGTGCTGCGGTGGGCATCACTGTGCTCTTCCAACAGCTCCTCTCACAACAGAGCCACTTCTACATTGTGTTACTAAAAACAATTTCATTAACTCTTGCAAATGTTTTAGTTTCATGACAGGTATATTTGCCTTGAAGTTTTTGACATCTTTGAGGAGAAAAGCTTTGTCTCTAAATAACATTCTCGTGACGTTTTGGAAGGTTACAGTTGGGTCACTAGCATTTCTTTTGGTGCAGGATTCATTTATTTTGGCTTGACCACTGCAATGGGCACCTACTCAGTTTTTCCTGTCACCTCAGGATTTGAGTTGCAGCAGCTTAACGTACTTAAGAGCTTTTTTCATGGCGTGACTGAGCACATGTAACAACAGGACTTCTATAAATTTGTGTTTCACATCTAGAATCTGGGTGTTTTCTTCAGTAAGTGTGCGTGAGAGAAACTTTTAATAACAGAAAAGGTTCCTCTCTTGCAGTTTGCTGGGACCTTGTCAGATGGTTTGGGAAAGACAATGGATAGCAGACATCAGACCGAACGAGAATACATCCGATACCACGCTGCAACTAGTGGAGAACATCTCGTGGCTGGAATCCATGGGCTTGCACATGGTAAGCCTTAGCTGCAGTTTTATTTCATTTCTCTTTTAAAAGCAATGATGAGACTGAAAAGTTTGCATTACCCTTGGGTGATTATTTGAAGCCAGGGATGTGGAGCTGTTGAAGGCTTTATGTTTGAACTGGTATGCTTGCAGAGTGTGTGAGGGGCATTCTTTGGTTCTTACATTGACAGAAACTACATTTAAGAGAGAATCTTTTCACATGTAACTGAGTAAGAGCTTTTCAGCAAATTAAAATGAAGTTTCAGCAAAAGTTCATCCAAAACTTCCGTTTCTTTGTGGAGGCATAAAATACCCATGCAAACAGGTTTCTTGAGGGCCAGACATTAACATACAAATGAGTACAGCTGGATTGTAGCTGTCTTCTGTTTGCTTTCAGTTCCAGAAACCTGAGGTTCCTCAGAACCAATAAATCAGTTTAAAGTGGCATTTCACCACTTGGGTTGTATTGTTGGTTTGGGGGGGGGGTATTTTAAGTCTACTAAGAACAAAAGAGATGCATTTGTGTAAAAGGCAGTGAACTAGTCTTAATCTGGCCAGCATCTCACATCAATTTAGCTCGTGATTTATCTGTTGAAGAAAGTTAAATCAATACAAGCCAAGTTTAAATCAAATATTTATATTTTGCAGCATCTTGACTGTTTGTTTAAACATCATTCTTTTAGTGCAACTGTTGCAGGCTGTGTGAAGCTAATCTGGCTTTCACTAAAGCAGCAATTTTATCTGTGCTGAGAAGTCTTTGTGCTGGGCTTTTGTCATAAGGAGACCCTGTAGGTATTTAACTGGATCATGAGAGGTTTCTCTCATAGCAGTGTGCTATAAAGGGTGGTATCAGTTATATCGGAAAAATGCTGAAATTGTGTTGTATTAATTAACAGGACTGTTTCAGTCTTAATTCTGTAGAGTTTTTAAATGCTCCTTATTCAGTTTTGTTCACTGTTTGTTTTTCAAAAGAGCAAATATCTGCTAAGTCCTATCTGTTGAAATGTAGGAATTAGCCATAACTGTAATTACTCAAGAGAAGTGACTTAAATACTTTGTGCTCCTCAAGTCTGTGAGTAAAGGTGCTGTCTGGTCTGTATTTCAGTTACAGACCATAGGAGAATGCCTGGCTGCTGGAAGCTCAAGAGCCAAGTGGTGGGAAGTGTTTTTACATGGAGGCTTAAGCTAGTTCACTAAAAACAATGCAATCACATCATCCCAAGATTGGAAATCTGTAAAGCAGGTTCTTAGATCGAGTGAACTGTTCCAAGTCTCTTGAAGCCTCAGTAGGCTCTTGATTTCTTCAGAGCATTCAGGTTCCCTGCAATGGAGATACGCACAGAAATGTGTCCTCAACATCACAGCTAAAATCACGTGGGGCCACTTTGAATTCACTTTTTCCAGTGGAGACATGACTTCTCTATTTTCTGTCTCAAACTGTATAAGCTTTTGTAGTAATAGGATATTGTCACACTGTAAGTAACTGCTTCACCTCAGGAATAGATGAGGACTGTAAGTACAGCTGGGAAGGAAAACAACATAGAAATATATTTAAAAACTCATATTTAATGATTAATTAGATTTTTTTCTGTGGGTTATTATTGTCTGTGCCTACATGTGTGCGTATACAGAATATAAAGTCAAGCTCACGTAACCCATTTTGACACAGATTTTGCGTTACATTAAATGCCCAGTGTGTTTCCATCAGGGTGCACAGTAAATGGTTGAGCCAGACAGCACCAGCTGTGAAAGGCTCTCTGATGCTTTGAGGCAACGCTTGTGGCCTACTGTGCTGTTCTTCTCTTTGCTAGGAATCATTGGAGGACTGACAAGTGTAATAACTTCAACTGTGGAAGGTGTGAAGACCGAAGGAGGTGTCAGTGGCTTCATATCGGGCCTTGGCAAAGGGCTGGTGGGCACAGTAACCAAACCTGTAGCTGGGGCTCTGGACTTTGCATCGGAAACTGCACAGGCAGTGAGGGACACGGCAACTCTGAGTGGCCCCAGGTCAGTGAGCAGTTTATATTTCTGGTCAATAATACTGTGAAAATGTGTTTTAATACCTGATGCAACTTCTGATCTGATTATCTTTCTTTACCCCAAAAAACAATAGCTTAATCAAATTTGCTATGAGCCATTATTAGAGACGTAGCCCATTTCATTCAGTTTGCTTTTTTTGTGATAGATGGCATTACTATAGCTAGAGTGAGATTTGAACAGAAAAGCTACAACATAAAATAGGAATTATTCAGCTACAGCATTAGATGAAAGCAAAATTTTCAAAAGGCTATAGAGAATGACATTAAACTTCTACCATGGAATCCTTACGCAGAGTTGAAATGGAAGTGTTCTTCTCCATCCTCTACCTCCAGCTTCCACTTAGCTGTGTAGAAAAACAGTTTGAAGAGTTCTGGTATCAATACAGTGTTACCTTCCAATTTTCATTTTGTAGTGGTTCTCACTTATAGGAAGTGTGGCTAATGCCCGTATGTCCACAGTAATGTCCTGTTTACTTCTGTGTGCATGTGTGTTGTGTGTCAGCACATCAGGGAAGAGGCTTTCTCTTACTTCCTGTGTTTGGTTACAAGCTTCATGTGCTCTCTACAAAATACAATGATTACGTTTAAAATAAATTGATGTTCATTAGCACTGACCGTGAATGCGGAAGAGGGAAAGGGACAAGTTCCAGAAGGGCTTCTGTGAGAGGAGATTCTTCTTACTGTTTGTTGCCAGGAGTTTACTGTGTATGACATGACTATGCTAGGAAGTCCTGATGTGTGTACGTGAGATCTTGTGTGTTGAAGAAGTGAAAGGCTATCCCAAGTACATTTTATTGTCAGAAAGTAAGAGAGGAATGTTTGCAAAATGTTGGGGTTTCTTATCTTCCCATTTGGCTTTTCCATTTCCTGTGTTTTATTATGCCTGACTTGGAGTCCTGGCATGCCCATTGTCAGCGTTTCAGTAGAGAACAATGAGGTTGATGAAGTGTGAGTGAGGGGCAGGAAGCTTTGAAGAATGAACCTAAGTGTACTTTGCTGTGAAAATGGATGTGTTCACATGTGTACCTGTTCTGTATTTGGTACTTAGCTTGGTTTGTAAAACCAAGAGGTCAAGGATACAACTTGGTAGCTACATGTGCATACAGAGAGTTACACAAGAACCCTTTTAAGTGCATCCCTGAGAAAGCACATCTACTGTTTTGCTCATATGTATCTTAGTTTTGTGACTGTACAGGTAGTTTGATTGATTGATTCAGAGGTGGGGAGAAACACACCTGGCTGTACTGTTAGTTGTCTTACTAGTTGAGCTGTGGTTTTATTATTGTTTGCTTCAAGACACACACACACACTTGAAACTCATGTTTGACATACTTCTGTGACATACAACCTCTACACAGTAGCAATGACGTTATCAACAGTTGACACATTAGATAGCAGCTGGGAAAAGGAGAGCCTCTCCAACCACCTTATCTCTTGTGTTTGCCTGTGTGACAAATTTCCCTTTACCTTGTCAGTTAAGAGATGAGGGTAAAACGGATGAGCTGAACCAGTTTTGCTTCCACTAAATTCTAAAATACTGTTGTAATAGATGAGCACAGTGAACTGACTTTAATGTCTGCACATGCCCTGCAAAAAGTTTGACGCAGCAACCTTCTGCAAGTGGAAATAGAACAAAAAAGAAAGAAAACCCTTTTTCAGTTACTTCTCCAGTCTACAAAATCTGATTAAAACATTTCTTTGGATAAACAAATGTACTTGAGAATATGTAGATAATGGGGGGGGGGGGGGGGAACAAACCCAAAGCCACACCACCACCTATAAGCAGCTTTGTGCTCATATTTTGTTTAGTAATGGTTGGGGTTTTTTTTATGTGCGTATATAATGGAGCAACAAAATTGTTCTTTTAGGGGTATAAAAAAAACCCCAAACCAACAAGGGATTTGTACGTGTTTCAGGCTGCTGTGTACCACTATCCCCCTGCCGCATTTGTTAACTGTTCAAATATGCGTGGTTTGGAATGAAAGCTGAACAGTGTTCCAGGCCCAAGCTGCTGGCTTTGGTTGAACAGAATGTTTTTGCATGCTGGGCTGTGTAGGCTTCTCCAAACTAAGTACACAGCACCAGCTAACCCTGGAATGTCGGCTTATGGTGGTAACTGATTCTCAGGATCATTTCGAACATTGAAAGAACCTGAGTTAAAAGTGTGGTAAGAGCGGCCTGACCTTATCTAGAGACTGTGTGCAGGTTTCCAGTACTTGCACAGAGTTGAGTCAACCAGTTAATTCCAGTTGCATTTAAATAGCACAATGCATAACCCTAAATTACAGGCCCCTTGCAAATCTCTAATGACAGGGTTGCATTTTTAAAAAGCTCTCAATTTAAGCTGCTTGACTTGAACCGATCAGTTTTGGGTGAGATGAGAATTTTAGTTGACATTGTAGGTTTTCCTAAAAGGCATGTTCTAATTCCAGCTAAATTACTGAATATCGAATAGAACTTTGAGAAAGACTCTGTAGCTGGTGTTACTGTGATGCTGCTACAAGGACATGAGTCTCTTTTGGCTTCAGAATGTGCTGGTTTGTGTTGCTTGCACAACCCATGTGTGTGGAAAATGGAGCCAAACTAACAGGACTGAGATGCAGACAATGCCTTTATAGCTGATGATGGTAGTGGAAAAGGCAATGTGTTTATGGTGCAAGAAAGTACTTTTTAAATGTGACTTTAGGCTGGACTTTTTCAAGGCTAATCTTATTATGTAATCATATAATTTATTATGCTTGTTATTTATGAGTAAAGCTGCCTTAATACTTCTGAATTTTAATGCAGAGGGGAGCATAAAATAGCTGTGACAATGCAATATACATCTAATGACTGGGACTTGATACCTTTATTTGAGTGGGGTTTATGTGTTCCAAGTGCTCCAATGTCACATATGAGATTTCTGATTATTTTCATATTGGTCATATACTGCCAAAGTCTTAAAGGCCAGTTCAGAACAAGAAATCTGTTATGTCTCTAGATATGCTTGGAAAGCTCGCTCCTGGAAATGTGTTTTAAGTTCTAGTGCAGCACAAGGAAAGAACATTTATATTTAGACATGTGTCTAACTTACCAAGTAGTGCAGGAAACTGCCATCACAGCTTTCTCTCAGGCTTCTGCCAGGTCAGTGCAAGTTTAAGATTAGTCCTGAACTGTTGCAGCAGTTTGTGGTGTTTTCTGATAGTCACAAGGTGAAACTTAGAAGTAAGGAGGTAACTTCACAACCTACCCAATTCAAATGAATTCTGTCAGTGAACTAGACTGTATTAGTAAAGAACAGTTTGGGCTGGCAAGCCATGAACGGGCACAGAAAATTCTTACGTAAATATTTGTTTCTTTTAGCTGTACTCCATCTGGAAAGCAGTAGCCTGTGCTCATTGTTCTTTAGTTCCCCACGTCCATGTCATCACTCAGAAGTGTGCAACCAGGCTGCAAAGTCTGAGACAGTGTCAACAGCATGTGTCTTTTTTGGTTGGTTGTGCATCCATTTCTCTGAGCTGTGACTTTGATTGCAATGTCAAAAGCAGTAGAGTTGAGAGGATGAGCATCAGTGGCACTCAGAAGAAGCAGAAAATCTGGACCTAATTATATGGAACACCAGCTCAGCTTATATACTGCACAGTATGTCCTCAGAGTTCTCAAGTTTTATAGATAAATATGGTTTGAACCTTAACACCTCTGTATGTGTCATAAATTCTGTCCTGACCACTAGAATTGATCTAGATCTGACTTCAAGAGTCTTCACAGTAACGTCAGATGTGTATGGGCCATGACTCTGGTGAAGGAAGTATTATTCTTCTCCTGGTAAGCCCTTCCTAAGATTTTCGTAGTAGAAACCAGAGAGAAAATGTATTTATTAGCTGATACTCATTGTGCTGTGTAAATCTGGAAATACTACACAAGACAGCTTAGCTGATTCATCGCTCTGATCTGTGAATAACTTGGGTAGTATGATTTCCTTGATATCCTCTTCCCTCTTTTCCCAGTGGGATATCAGGTTTTTATAATGATCTGTTTTCTTTTGAGCGGGTTTGTCCGTTTCATTCCTATGGCACTCTGTGAAATGGCTGTAGGTGTTGGCTTTTCCTCAGTGTTGGCCCCACCTTCAGTCACTGTCAGACTTGACTTTATGGTTTCCATTCTTCTGTCTTTAGTGCATGCAGATTCTTCCATTGCTGCTGTTGAGCTGCTTTGAAATCCCTCCAGTGTGTAAGTTCCCATAAGCACTGCATGAAAAGTGACTGTCACATCCCTGCTCTGTGGCAAGCTGTGCTCTGCAAGTCATCCAAGCCTGTGCTGGCTGGGTTTACTGCCATATCACATTGCAAACCCATACCCAGTTGTCTGCTCACTGTTTTCCCTCAGGTTTTTTTTCCTGTATTTTGTTCTATTTTACTGCTTTGCAGGTATCTCCTTGTCATTTCATATTTGTGTGCTGCATTACTTTTCCCCAGATGAACCAGGTTGCAGTTTTGTAGGTTGAATCCTATTTCATTTCCTGCCGTATTTCTGACCTCTTCAGGTCCTTTAGTACTTCACTGTCCTCACTGGAGTTTTAAAAGCCGCTTCGTTTGTCCTCTCTAAATATGACCTTAAATGCTGTCTTTAGTGGAGCCCTGAAGTTAGGCAAGCCTGGGTTTGTGCCGAGACATTTTGCAGCACCTCAGCAGACACTTCCTCCTTGAAACTTTAATCACTATCTGTTACCAGTTTTACCTGCTCAGGAGTCTTCTATTCACTTTTAATTTATCACTGATAACTTTCTGTAGCTCTGTTCCTGAAATGCCCACTCTGGCTCACTGAGGAAGAGGGTGTAGATGTTCTTGGTTGTTTCTTAACCACAGCCCTGCACCTCTTCAGTATGGACAATTTAATCTCAAAACCTTAAGGGTTTTTTTTCTTTCTGAAAATGCACCTGTTTTAGTTTCTTAACTAGGAAGAGATAATAATCCACCACCCAGAACCTGA